GATCAAGATAAATTAGTAGAGTGTTTCTGGTTCCAAACTTTTGGCAGAATCTGTAAGCATAAAGATCAAAACAGCACTGACCATTTCCAAATGAATATTCTTCAGATGAACAGTCACTGCATTCATGGCAGCAGCCTCCAAGTTTCTTTGATTTCAGGATTTGTCCTGGTTGGCATTTTTTGGAGCAATTAAAAACAGAGACCTTTGAAAGACACAGTATAATTAGCATATGTTCATCAGACATTGACTTTATAAATTCCTATCTCTTCCTTACATTCCCATAATTCCTCCATTGTGGTAGATCTTCACTAAAGGAAATGTTCTTATTTGGCCAGTATTCTCCAACTTTTCTTATGTCCACACCTCCTTTGGACTCTGAGGTGTTCCAAAGCATAATATCATATCCCAAACTGGGATCCCCATTCGCATCAAAGTTGATAGTTGTGTTGTTCACAGTAATTTTGATATTGCTGATTTCTTTGAAAAGCTGCAGGGACAAATTTAAAGCCATTAATTTGTCACGGAACAGAATATCAATGTCAGAATTATGTTGTCATAAAAACCTGACTTATATCAACAACCCAGAGATTTGGTTACTGTACCTCAAAAGGTGTGAATCTGGTCCGTTCACAGCTCTGATGGTCACATTTTAGTAAGCTTCTGAGGCCCTCAGCAATAACCTGGACGGCCAGATAGATGCCATAGGATTCACCGTGGTCAATGTAGCAGTGCAAGCAGTTTGGCTTGGAAGTATTTTCCTGGCAGTTACATTCCATGTCCTCTTTGGAGTTATTTATGGAAAACAAGTAATGCCTTAAAATGGCATTTGAAGTTCCATTAAAGAGAGAGCGGACGTAATTTTGGAAACCAGGAACCTCATTCTGACTAAAGATGAAGCCAAAAACTGGACCGATCAGTTTGATGCCTTTTATCTCAGAGATCTTTGGAGAAGTAGACCAGGTGTCACTGGCAATCCAGTTCCTGGTGATATTTTGTTTAATTACTGCTTCCAGGATGATACGAACATTGGCATCTTTGGTGAACATGATGATGGCCTCAGCTGTGGACGTGGTTATCTTTTCAATCAGATCTTTTGCTGTTGAAGAGTTTTCATTGAAGTTACCAGGTAGAATCTCTACAAAATCCACACAGATATTATTCTCCTCAAAGTGTTTCTCAAGGCTGTCACTACCATACTTCCCATATTCATCATCACTTCCCACGATTACCACTGATTGCCATGTAAAATTCTTCACCAGCTCTAAATTGGCTTGTGTCTGATATTTGTCACTGGAAACAGTCCTTAGGAAGGTGGGGAACTTATATTTCATGCTGAGCAGCTCACTGGTTGATGCATAACTAATCTGTGGAGGGCAAGAAAAGGATGTAAGAACTTTACACACACCTTTTGATACAAAATATGACACTATCATGGCTTGAAGTTTATGGACCAGAATGCAGTCAGACATTAGAAAGTAGCATGGTGAATTAAAGATACTTTTAGTTGGAAAAAAAAACACATCCCCACATGTATGATGTAAAAACAAGGAAACAATTCAGGTGATTTTCTTTATACTACTCTTTTTAAAGGGAGTGAAATAATAAACTTTATATAGCAGCCAGTTTTATCCCTGAATCACGCTTAAGCGTTTTGCAATAACCATGGCAGAATTAGCAAATGGAATACTGCGGAATTATTACAGTTCAAGGGTGTACAACTTATTGCATCTAGGCTGTCCTAGATTGGCTTTATTTTCTGTTTTCTTTTGTCACAGACTTTTTTTTTCCAACTGTACAAGATACAAGATGCAATTTGAAGCTCAATCAGGGTCTATTATTTTTTAATGTTGGTTTCATTCACTCTGTAAACAAAATGTGTTTCAATATGAACATATTTAGGTTTAAAGGCATGTAGTGTGATATAATACAGATAGTGAAAGACACAGGGCCGGTGTGACAGATCAACTGGGGAGGAGATCAACTGGTGACGGCAGCTGGAAAACCGCTGATTTTTGCAGATGTGTCTGTGGGCGGGGCTTTTCAGGACCCCTCGCCTCAAACAGGAAGTAAACTGCGTGTAGACTCCAAGAACTACAAATTATCTTGTTATCTGATCGATGCGAAATACGTTGAGATCTTTAGAAGTCACCGTCAGCAAGGTATTTAATTGCATTAAGAAAACATATCGCATGTTTTAGGGTTTTCTCCAAACCCGCACACAGAGATTTGAGGAACTTGTCCTGCTGTTGTTTATCTGTTTGTTTCAGAGCCTCAGCGATGAGAGAAAGAACCGAGTAGAAAAACCACAGAAAGCTGTATGAGAAGTAAAAACAGCCAGTGCAATAAAAGATAAATGGGAACATCTAACGGTGTATTGTTCTGCATTTTTCTGTCGTCCTGTATGTCTTGTAAATTAAAACGAGCGAAAATCAAATGTTCCTTTTTTTTCTCAAAAGCGCCGACTGTTTATATGGAGGGAAACTAATCACTTACAGTCTAACTCGTTTCCAGAGGAGTTGTAAATGTCTTTAAAGTTTAAGATGTGTTGCAGGAACAAAGCAAAATAACATAACTGCTGCGGGGAAGAGTGAAATCTCTGAATTCAGTTTATATATTGTGTGAATATATGTGATATTTTGGGCATCGGGGCGAACAAATGCAGAACCTGCTGTACTAAAGCATTAAAAGAAGCAGCACAGCCTCCAGCTGACTGCAGCCAAACAATGAATAAATAAAAAAGGGAGATTTTACGGTAGATATCTGATCGAAAAAAAAGATCTGGTTATTATTTTTTATTTTAATAGCATAGCATAACCTACTGTCTAACTATATCTTAACGGGGAGGCCCCATTCTGTTCTAAGAGTAAAGAAGGAAAAAATAGTTATATCTGATATTCTGGAATTCAAACATGTTTTAAGCGAACAGCAGACTCTGAAACACTAACTGTCACCAGTTGATCTAAGACCAGCTCTTCAACAGGCAAAGCAGACACACGCAACAGGTTCATTAACGCAGGTGGGGACAGATGGAGTGTTCATATCAATAGCTCAGCAGGTACATAGACGCCTTGCAAACCAAAACAACATCGGCCGAGGGTTCGATCCCACATACACTCTTATGCCCTCCTTTTATTTTAACAGATTTTCCACAAATGGGCAAGATAGTATTATCTCCTAACTCTGACATGACAAACATTTCCTCGCAATCAACGTTTTGTGCTGAATTGCTTTTTGTCATTCTAATTGTACCAGTGAAGCAAACAATTTAGACCAATAGTAAAAAGTAGACAAAGCAATACTCTATTGCCAGTAACTTGAAAAACGCGAATGATTTAAAGTTGTTCTGCATGCAAACCTAATAATGTGGCGTCCTCAAAACAATAGAAGGGAATAAGATGACAGCTGACTGTGTGAACATGGTCACACATCATGACAGGTTCGTATTTGCGGTAAGAAAAATAATCAACAATAACAGTTAAAAACTTAAAGTAGCCTGCTACAACCCTAACTGAGGATAAGATAATAACATTCAAACATCCCAGGAGATGGAGCGTTTTACAGCCCATATTCCTCCAGATCCGCTGGATCACAAGTTAATCTTTGACACTCTGCAGATTCTGACGCTTTCAGATCCTCACGATGCGTTTATTTGATCCCCAAACTTAAATTACTCATAATATTTCACATTATCCACAGACAACAGACGTGTGTTGGATAGATATTAGGCCAGGATAAATTATAAACTTTATTCTGACCCGTTTGTTTACATTTGCGGTATTTTGATCGGGCAACCACGCAGCCAACTAATCTCACCAAACAGCTGTGCTGTGGACCCCGTCACAAATTAATCTAGTTCTTCGTTTAAGAATATCTGCATTTTTCTACAAGATAAAACATAAAGCAGTCATGGCGACTCACACCCACACCGTAGCGGTAGCTGCTAACTCTGGGATTTAAATTCTACTGTGAAAACAGAAAAAGTAAAGTTTCCGCATCAACAGGTATGTGATTCAGATTCTATTAGCTGCAATGCGCCTAAGTAAATACATTTTACCCCCTTTTTACACATGGGGCAGTAAAACCAGCTCATCAGCAGCCCATTATGGTCTCATAACTGTATATTATAAACAGACTGAACACAATAGCAATAAAAATAAAGGTGTTTGACCTGATACAGTTCATCATACGGAACAAAGTTTTGGGATCCACTAAAAAAACAACAACACCGCAGTAGAGACCTGTATTTGTGTCCACTTCAGACAGGAGAATAAAGGAAATATGAGCGCATTGAATCTAAAAAAACAACTTTTTGTCAATATTCAAAAAATAAAGTGGGAATAGTTGGAAGGATGAGAAGCCCAATTGTTCTGTTTGCAGTCAATTTTTCTTTAAAATGTGCTGCTTACACACGTGCATTCTGAATGACAGGCCTCATTAATGGATTTATTTTTACATTCAGGAATTTATAAAGTGGGCGGACTTTATCGTCCAAGCTACAGGTTTTCATTTATAATTTATCGTTCAACAGGAGAAATGACACTCCAGTGTGAGACAGACTTTTATTTGTATTTTTTCTTGTGAACGACGCTGTTCTCTGTGTGGGATTCTTTGCACTATCTGCTTTGCTGAGGATACAAGTTCTTTACCACATCGTTCTAATCCGAAAAAACAAAAAAAAAAACAAAACAGAAATTAATTCATTAGATATGTCGGTTGATTTTTTTTGGCGAACAGTTTTGTTACGTTAGGAATATTTTTTCGCCAGGCATCAACACAGCCACCTAAGCTTCAGTAACATCTGCGGTGCGCTTAGATTCTAACCAGTTAATCTCCTCCCCAGTTGATCTTTCACACCGGCGATTGCTACAGGCGAGATAGGCAATCGGTCTTTGACAGTGTGCGTCACTTCCGCAAAAGCGCAATGCATTTAGGGTAGTTAGCGCCATTTCTGTGGTGAAGAGACAGCAGCAACTAACAACAGAAAACTAACAGAGAGAAAACAGCAGATGGGGCCTTACGGTTTTTCGTATTCCCCACTTGGAAAAAAAAATACGGACCGCAGACAGAGGACTTAACAAAGAGGCGTCGGGCTGCATGGGTCGCTGCTGTAAGAAGGAAAGACATCACGTTTCATAAAATATCTCCTCATGCTCGTGTTTGCTCTCGGCATTTTCAAAAAGGTAAGTCCTTATAAATATACACTAATAGAAATCAACACGCTGAAATGGTTTGCTTATAAAGTTGCAGGAGTTAATGTAAACCTACTGAAACATGCTGTGGAAGAGAAGCGGAAAGTGATGTTTGTTTTGTTTATTTCTTTTTTAGACCGCTAAAATTTAATAAATAATGCATTCTCTGTATATAATCATTTACACAATCTGCAATACAATTTTTTTTTAAATGAATAAATATATGTAAATACACTGTACATATAAAAACACTGTACATACCCACTCGTCAGCCAACTCACTGTATTTATTTATCCTGTGCAATCTACTTAAGTATATTATAATCCTTTGTTCGTCTGTAAGCTTTTCAGTTTATTTATTTACCTCTGGCCTTACTAGTCCGATGTACTTGTGCTGTTTCGGTATAGCAAATTTCCCCACTGTGGGACACATAAGGTTATCTTAATTTATTACACATCTAATCTAATGGGCTCTGTTATTTAGGTGCTTTATATAGTGTTTGGAATAGATGTGTAAAACACTCAACCTTTCATCTAGTTTGCAGGTCAACCCGCATATGAGATGATGGAGACTGACCCAGACTGGGCTCCATCCCTGCATCTGGGCCACACTGACATCAAACCAACAGACACAGACCGCTCTTTAAGACGTGGTTATCGGGAACAGCTGAAAAAGAATGCCCTGCAAGCAACTGAAACGGGGCTCCATCGGGCTGATGAAATCCTTGAGCAACAGGATGAAGTAACACATGAGGCGACAGAGAACCCTAACCAGCAACAGACTGACACGCAGAAGGCTGCTGAAAACGTTGGCCGGCCAAACACCAAGGATGACACAGAAGGTGGTCGTCAGGAAGGACAGACAGAATGTAACCTGTGTGTGCTCAGGTGTGCAGAGATGAACCGTCTTTTGGAAGAAAACAGAGAGCTGCGGCGTGAACTTGATGAGCTGCGGATCTCTGATTGCTTCTTTGGAGACACTAATGAAAAAGTCCAGTACTATACGGGTCTACCAAACTTGGTGACCTTTATGGCTTTGTTTCATTTTCTGCTGCCTCTCATGTCTGCTCAAAATAAAATTCTCAGTCCATTTCAAATGCTTCTGTTAACCTTCATGCGTCTGAGATTGGATCTGCCCTCACAACACCTTGCGTATCTCTTCCGTGTTTCACCAAAGACAGTGTACAGAACATTCAATGAAATGGTGTCATTTTTATATGCAAATCTAAAGCGTGCAATTGTGTGGCCAGATAGAGACACTTTGCACAAAATTATGCCTCATCCGTTTGTGGATGCCTTTGGACATAGAGTCACAGTGATTAGTGACTGTTTTGAAATTTTCACAGAGAAACCAGCTAATAAATGAATGCCAGATCAAGTACTGTTTCAACTTTCTTCTTCTTTTTTATTCTTCTTTTCACACAAATAGAATTTTGCTTTTTTTAAAGTTACTTTTGAAAAATAACAGCAAAACAAATATAAGTTTCACCATCACTTCAAATATTAACAATGTTTCTGAGGTTGTAAAAATGTGTGTACAATAAAGAGTGGATTTGAAATTTGAAACAAGTGTTGTTATTATCTTTTCAATCAAGCAGAGAATTTATGAAAATGCAATACAAAATCTCAAATACATAAGTAATGCAGAACAGTGCAAAGCTTCAAATGTTTTACTTTGTCTTCCTCCCTCGTATATAGCAGATTGCTCTTTAGATTAAATTAGACTATTTTCATTTTCCCTGGACTTGTTTTCACTGTGGTCTTCCGTAGAGATATGACCTAACAGGTGATATCTGTGAAGAAGACTGCAGATCCCAGTGAAAACAGGCCTGGGTAAAGTGAACAGCAAATACAGTGTGCAACTTATCAATGTGCAAAAATTCTGACAAGTTTTTCCGTTCAGTCTGATGAGCAGCACAAACTACTCTAATAACTGCAGCTATCTGTGCAACTGCCCACAACATCTGCCTTGTCACTGTAATAATAATATATAATATCGTTCCCTAGCAGCTTTAGAAAGTTTGTCTGGGTAGGGTATCCGTTCAGTTTTCTTGTTCTTTTCCATTTAACTGATAATCCTCGCTGCTGGCTTGCAGCGCTCTCCTCTTGTTTTCTGCTGTTTTGTTTTTCTTCCGCTCACCACAAAAATGGCGCTAGGGGGCGTGTCAGCCACGTGGCTGACAAAGACCGATTGCCTAGGGCGACAAATGTGTTGGGGGCGCCCTCTAGCGTCGCTCTTAGGCTTACTTCCCATTAATCATAGAATTAGAAAATAAAAAGCGAATTAAACCGGTTATGAAGCGTCCGTCAGTTTGACTTAACCTTACGTATATATAAATAGCAAAATATGAACAAATAAATATACCACCGTTTTTTTATTTATTTTTTCACATTTAAGAGAAAATCGAAAAAGATTCTGATCACTTTCCAAGCGCCCTCCAACCCGGAAGTCGTGACGTCAATCACTGCAGCATGTACACCAATATTTTGGAATGAAATTGTAAGCAAACGTGCTTGCTTAACTTTGCTCGCGGTCGGGCCCGTCTTAATCATCCACTCAGAGTATCACTGGTAAGCGCACACAGACTTTGTAGCTTGTCCGGTCAGTTAAAAATATTAATTGTGAAATCCGTGTTGTAATCGGAAGCATACAAGCTAGTTAGCTTGAAAAGTAAATAAAGTTTCAGACGTGCTGCGTGATGATGTGTTCAGATTGGCTCAGTAAAACGACAATTAGGTTATCATGATGCGTTCAAGTGTAACGTAAAGAAAACGGGAAATTTTGTTTTTGGCGAGAAACATGAGTAATACAGTTGTATATTGCTCTATATATAATTAAACTACTGATGCCAACATTTATAAAAAATTACATTTAATTTAAAATACAATTATTTAATTGTTAAATATTTTCCTAATCACTAAAAACATGATGAAAAGTGACAGTAGACAATACATTAACCAACAATTGTGAAAATATATTCTAGTTAGTTTTATGTCATTTCGAAGTGGCCTATTACATTAGCCATGTTTATTGAAGGCTAGAAACCTTTTTGTTATTCTCACTTGTAATAAGCAATAGAAGCAATACCAGTTCTGTTAAAAAAATTTTGTTGCATCGTCTTTCCACCAAATAACAGAAAAGTATTGATAGTGGTATCGATAAAGACTCGGATCGATAAGGAGTATCGATAAAGGTATCGATATCAATAAATATTAACGATCCCCATCCCTAATGTTGACATCATTTTTTTCTCAGTATATATGCAGCAGAATTATGTGCTATATTATTAGCTTGAGAATGGGTAGAAGATACTAATATAAATAAAATATTTTGTAGTGATTATCTGCATTGAGTATTCAAAAGGGATGTACAAATAATCATCAAAATATATGAAGTTATGGCTGTTCATCATAGAATATGTGAACAAAAAAAACAACAACAACTTCAAACTTTTAATTTTGTAATGGTATTCATAAAAGCACTTTTGTTTGTAGAGGGTTAATCCTTTCTTTAATCACTAATCAATGTCAGAAATCAGGCTAAATATACCTGATATATTTTACTTAGAGGAAAATTTTGTTTATCTCATTTCTATTTATGTTCAAATGATTTAATTGAACTGGAGCAGAAAATTTAATTTAATGTTTATCAATTACTTTTTTATGTAGTCCTTGGTTGAAGAATTTCTTAAATTTATTATTTTTTATTGTTATTTGGTAATTTCTGAAATTGATTTATTTAATATTTGTTTAATGTGTATTAAATTTGTTAGTTTTTTAGTTATACTTTACCTAAGTGTCCTTACAGATGGTTAAAAGTGTTTTTGCACAGTCCTAACTTTGAGTGTGTAATAAATTATTTAAAATAATAAAAAAGAAAAGGTACTGAAACCTATTCTGGTATTTGTCTATGCATCACTCCATGCTAAGTTACAGTTTTTTTCTGAATGCTTAAACAAAACCTTGATTCTTATAGCACAATTTCTAAAACTATTAATACTTATAGCAAATCCACTCACTGAGTTCACAAAACTAAAAGAACAAACACTGCTTTGCACTCAATTAGCGATTTTGTAACACACACTTTGCACAACTGTAGGCACAATCCACCGCACAGCACTCTTTGTGGAACTGTAAACACAACACAATGAAGCACTAAACAGATGCTGAAAACAGTACTGGTATTTCGCACGGCAAAGGGGGGGGGGGGGTGCGCACGCACAAAACTCGATCTCGCCTAGGGCAACCAAAGGGCTAGAACCGGCCCTGGAAAGACAAACCTGGGTGACTGATGGTAAAGCTAGTATCCTTGCAACAGCTATGGAGACCTCCGAGTACCTCTCACCAATTACCGCCTTTGTCTCGGGTTCAGGCAAGGAGGAATTGATGTACGCAGGTATGAGACACCTCTGAGGGTCTGACTGGTTCTTCAGCAGCTGCAGAGCGGCTCTAATGGCCAAGCTGACGTCTCCACAAGTATCATAGATGTCATATCCGAGGGTGAGGTTTGGCAGCAGTCTCGGTGTACGTCGGTTTATTTCTTCGATGGCGTAGATCATCACTTGGGAGTGCAGAAACGTTTGACTAGTAAACCTGTAAATGAAAGCATTAAATAAACAGTGCATTTTCTATTTATTTGCTGTTTTATTTTCATGTAAAGCATTCTTACTTTTTGCAGGTGATTGTAGCACGGTCTTCTGTTCTGTTGGTTTGCTGGTGAATGGGAATAAGACCCCCAATCATAATGTCCCCAGGAAGGTATGCATGAAGAAAATCATTTTCAGAGCAAGAGTGAAATACAGCTAATAAATTTAGAAATAACCTTAAGAGAAACATGGCTGTTACAGTTTATCCATATGTTTGCACTTTGTATTCAGCTCCCTGTAGTGTGAACTGGTTTCCTGGAAAACTTCTCAAATAAGGTTTCCTCACCACAGTTGTCAATCATTTACATTTTCAGACTGATTCTCACCAACATCTCTCGAATAACTGACACGAAAATGGTGAGGCAATTTGAATCCTGCTAAAAATCCCACAAAGAGGGATTCATTTCTGACTGCGTCTGATCTCCACCGGAGTTCAGCAGATCAATAAAGGTTTATGTCTTTTACTAGTTGATAATCCAAGTCCAAAAAGTAACAAGCAGGTACACAGATCAGTTTCAGTCTCTTGTATTTCCAGCTCAAAAACAAAGACTGATGGTTAATCACCTCTTTATGTACAATGAAGGAAAATCAGGGAAAGTTTATGAACTTTCTGGACCTGGATTATCCTCCTCTGTTCTCTTTCCATTTTCCCCTGAAGCAGTGGCCTCTGACTTCTCTGTTCTGTAGTTTTACATTCAGTCCATGAGAGGGCAGCATGATTCATATAAATCAACCTTCGTGTCATTAACTCTCCTATTAATGAAAATGTTTTTGATTAAATAAATACTGTTTTGAAACCATACTTTAGGCCCTCTAAATATATAATAATAATATATAATCTATATTATTAAAGACATTTCATCCCAGCGCTGCGTGTCCCGTGACATCATCAATGACCCCTCAGCCCCCCCACCATGGACTGTTCTCCCTGCTGCCCTCAGGGAAGAGGCTTCCCAGCATTCAATGCAGGACCAGCAGGTTCTGCAGCAGCTTCTTCCCCACCGCCATCACACTGATTAATGTTTAGTAAAATGGGTTATTATATTGTATTTTATTATAATTATTATTTTTTATCATTATATATATAAAAATGAAAATGTTAGAACTGTAAATTTACAGTCATATGTTTATATTACTGTTTTTATATAGATTTTTTACAATTTTTCAAGGCTGCACTTAAAAAAAAGAAATGAAATTGTGCAGAGAGCTGTTCCAAACGAAAATTCTTCTTGTTTTACAGTAGTGTAAACAAAATGGCAAATAAATGTGTCTAAGTGTAATAAAACAGAATCTTTCACGACCAGCTGAACATGCAGGATTTATGCTGAAAGTATTTCTGTAGGCCACCTGTGGTTGAGAAACTAGGACCCTGCAGGGATCAAATGAGTCTTTGGACTTGGCTGACTTCCAACATGCCATCCAGCAGAACATTGTAAAGAACGTCACTTCACTGTCAGCTCATTTCATCATGTGGCTCTTTGTGTTAGCTAAGAATTTGAGAACTATTTACTGATTAATACTAGGTTTGCTTCAGCAAAAAAACGAAAAATGTGAACAATTCTGCACAAATGATCCTTAATTAAACTAAAAGAGTTTTTATAAAATTAAAAAGCACCAAAACTTTGTCCTTTTGACATGTCATTGAGCAGCTTATTGCACTAATATTTAATCCTTTCAAATGTGAAATACTAAAACACTAACAACCAGGACATATAAGCTGAGTTTGTTGGGTGTTTCTTAATAGTAGCAAAAAAAAGAGGATTTTATCATAACTTTCATTCTTAACTTTATGATCCTCTTCAGATGAACTTTAAACATGTGATCGTTGGACTTAAGGGACACGCTTCATACATGTCATTCTAACATGAGTAAGCTTTGATTAACACCGTTACCGTGGAGATCTGGCTGTGACTTCCAGCGCTTTGTGCTGAAAATTTCCCCTAATCTCTCGTCTACTGCTGCCGTTCATATATTTCTGTCCAGGACTTCCCCTCCATTGATCTCTGTCCACCATCTCCTCAACTCCCTGGAAGTGCTGAAAAAAATATCTCAGCAACATGATGCTGCCACCACCGTGCTTCATCTATGGGTTGGTTTTATATGGTTTTCATTACCTAATAATTTTCTTCTTCAAAGTTTTCAATAAACTGCATTATTAACGTTTCCTGATAACCGATTGTCTCTCCTCAGCAGTGGATGGATCTGTGCTCTCTGATTAATGCTCTATTGAGAGCTTAGGTGGATGATTAAGTCTCACTTAGATTTAAATCTTCTTTTCACTTTGGGGAAAGAGTTTGAACTGTGCTCTGTGACATCTTCAAAGCTTATGGATATTAATTTGAAATATAATCTTTCTTTAAAGCTCTGCAGTCCTGACCCATCAGTCCATTCCTTAGTGCTCACTTTTTATTTGTTCACTAATGTTCTATAATAAACTGGATTTCCTCTCTCACTGAAATTAGTCTGAGTAAACACAGATGGACTCATTTATTTATTAATTTCATATCTAAAGTAAGTTGGTAGTAATTTATTTTAATTTTGAATATGGGAATAAAGTGCTAAGAAGCTTAAAAACGTAATTTTCTTTGCAGTGATTCAGTGAGTCTTTCTCCAGCCAAACATATCCAGGTAAAATACTCTGAAGTTTGTCCAAAGGGGGTTACTAAGCACTTTGTAAAATAATCACCTATATTTTAATAAAATTAAAGATTATCATGGATTTAAAATGCAGATTTGATTTATTTCTTATAATGAGATGTATCAGCCCTCACTTAATAATGTACAGGGTCTTGATTGGACCCCTGACTCTCCGCCTTGTGGGCAGAGGTGGAGCAGCCCATAAATGAGGGGGGCTCTGCTCCCATCCAGCTGAAGGAGCAACATGGTGTCTCTAATGGTGGTGGTCTTTGGTATCTTAGCGGCGGGATCTCAGGGCTCTGCACCACGGCGGTATGACCAGTCCAAGGACTTAACGCCCATCCACATCTCTTCTTCAAAAACGCAGGACGCAAAACGCTTCCAGGAGGTCCGAAGGAGCGACGAGAGAAGCGTGCAGCTGCGTCAGGGCGCGCGCACAGGTGCAGACTCCTACCTGAGGACCGGGGGACGGAGAGATGACGCAGGTGGGTGTCCTCCTTCAACATGGAGGGGCAGCGTTCCTCCATGGGGCCACAGAACAAAAGAAAAGCAAACAACAAACGCGCCGAAAGTAAAGAAGAAATATTAAAATTGGTCCAAATCAGTTACAATCTAATTCTGTCAGCACGTATAACCATAAGAAATGTATTTATTATACCACAAAAACTTGAATAAAAAATGTTAATTCTCAAAATAATGTTAGTGGGTGATGATGATCTGCTAAAGACATAATTAGTTTTGCTCTTAAAAATAAGATAATTAGATATTATGCACTTGAAGTTCTTTAATACATTCAACTCATTTTAAATGTAATTCATATTAAACTTAGAATGCTTAAATGACTTCAAGAAAAATTGACTTGCTTATATGTCATATTTCACTATAACAGGGGCCAGGACCAGTTCTACAGGCGCTGGCCCCTGTTGGCGCCGTTGGCCCCTGTTGGCACCTGTTGGCCCCTGTTGGCGCCTGTTGGCCCCTGTGTCTGTCGATATGCGCTCAGTCTGAATTTACACATCCACTGACATTTTAGTTAAAACTGACAGAACATCAACTTGTATTCATGTAGAATTAATTTCCACTCAGTTCAGCATTGATTTTAATTTATTATTGAGTCTTAACATGTAGAAAATTCCACTATTTGATGCTGCTTCAGTCTTTTACACTAGTTGGCTTTTCTTCAGTGCATATCCTTCCAATAAGTCCTGGTTTTATGGCTCTAAGCTCAGTCTTCCTAAAGCTCCACCATCTGGCTGCTTGCAGCCGACTGGAGATTCTCCAGCAACTATCAGAAACAGGACAGGCACTGGACCTCCCCTAAACAAATAAATTATACTTTTTACAACAAGTTTTGTTGTTGCTGCTTTTTTTTTTTCCTTTTCAGATTTTTATGTGAGTTAATTAATCTCTGCTATTCTGGAGTCTTTTTTTAAGGTTGTACCCAATGCAATAACTCTAAGAAAAAGGAAAAGTAACTGACCAATTAAGTAAGAAAAAGCTGTCAAAAATTTTGTGTTTTTTTATTTGTTATTATCATCTTAAATCTGTGGGAGGAAGAAAGTCAACTTTTGTTTTTTTACATTGAAATCCTGGCCATTTTGAATATTTTTCTACATTTTGAAATTTAATATTTAATACATAATAAATCTATACATCGAAAGATATAACCAACTATTGCCAGATGCTTGTCTACCCATTTTGATATGCCTTATTACTTTTTCTTTGCTGTATAGTCTGTTGATCTGTTGTCAGTGATGAAAAATACGATGATTGTGTGCGGATTAATTATTTGGTCATCCAAGAAATGAAGAAAATTAAGAGAATATACCAGCATGACAAAGGTTAAAGAAAGACAAATACATTGTAACACTATTTCTCTCTCTTCTGTCACACCGTAAAATGTAAAACCTCTCATTTTTGCAAAGGAATTAAAATATTTTTTTCATTTACAGCATCAAGAACTAACTGCAAAAATCGTCCAATTGACCTGGTTTTCATCATAGACAGCTCTCGCAGTGTGCGCCCTGCTGAGTTTGAAAAGGCTAAGGCATTCCTGCAGAACATGGTGGACAGCTTGGTCATAGGCAGAGACGCCACTCGTGTCGGCCTGGTTAATTATGCCAGCACAGTCAAGATCGAGTTTCTCCTCAACACCTACTTTGACAAGTCTTCGGTGAAGCAGGCACTTGGGAAGGTTGAGCCCCTGGCTTCAGGTACCATGACTGGCATGGCCATCAAGACCGCCATGGAAAAAGCCTTCACCAAGGAGGCCGGGGCCCGCTCCGCTTCCACCAACATCGCTAAGGTGGCGATTATAGTGACGGACGGGAGGCCCCAGGACAGGGTGGAGGAGGTGTCGGCTGTAGCCCGATCAGCTGGGATAGAGATCTATGCAGTGGGAGTCGACAGAGCCGATATGGCTTCCCTGCAGCTTATGGCCAGCCAACCACATGATGACCATGTCTTCTATGTGGAAACCTATGGCGTGATCGAGAAGCTCACATCCAAATTTAGGGAAACCTTGTGTGGTAAGGATGATGATAATGGGAGTGCAGATATTGATGATAACGGACTAGGCCCAAATGGCAGGAAAGACCATAATAACAATAAAGGGAACAACGGTATGTCAGATCGGTTCTATTCTAAATACCTGTGAGCATACGGGCAGCATCTTAAAAGGAATCTTCATTTTAAAGCTATTTGTACTCTTCTTTAGTTATAAGTATGAAAGTAACCACTAATATGCCACTTGTTTTAAGTAAATCTTAAAAGATGTCCAGAACCTGTGAAAAAACTGTTGTATTAATGCGGTTAGCATTAAACATGCATAAAATATTCCAAACTAACAATACTTAAAGAAAAGAAGATTCAAATTCTGGCCACATTCTTTAAAATGTTTGAAACCTCTTAAGATGTTGTCTGTTTTGTTCACAGAAATGTGCCGCTGCTGTAATTTATGCTGCAAGCCATAAAACGCCTTTAAAAAAAAGCTACTGTTTCCATAAGAGCTTAAAAAAAAATGCATTGAAACATTTCAGATTTATTTTGCTAAATTTTTCTAAGAAGTCTAAATTTCCATTAGTCACTCATATCAACACAAGCGACCCGAGTCGCATCTTTCTTTAAAAGCTCCTTTAAAATACATTTTATTGGAGAATTTGTTTCCTCAAGCTGTTTATGATGTAAACAAAAACAGGCTCAAATTATTTTGACATTTTTCCAAGTTTTTGGAAGGACTCCTCCAGATTTGATCTAACCAACCAATGAAGCTGATTTCATAAAAGCCTATAATGGATTGGCTTAGATTAGCAATAACTAACTTTAATATGAATAACTTAGAGCTAAAGCTTGGTGTTGAAAATAAAAACACGCACAAAAAATTTAAAAACTAATTTGAAAATGTTTACTGTTAAGTATGAAAAAAATCACACCAACTCAGCAGGTTATACCGGCAAAATCCTACTTTATTACTAAAAATAGAACTCGTATCCTAAAAAAAAATACTGCAAACTTTGAAAAGGAGAGAGTGAACAGAACACCAGTCTTCCATAAATGGTCGTTTTTTCCCATTACCATTGTTTTAAAACATATATTACTGAAATATTTCAGCTAAAGAATGTTTGTATTTTTCATCAATTTGGCTTTTTAGCAACTTTTAGCTTATTGTTAATCAACAAGTCATCCAAACCAGTCTTTTTACAGGTTATCACTGATATCCACAGTTTTTTGTTATAGTTGCTCAAAATAGTTAGGTGCTTTGCAATCACATCTTTTCATTTTTGGTGTAATTGTGTCTTATTGTTCTCATTTAATGGCTATGAAGTAGCCTTTTAAAGTTAAAACTTGTGTAGCTAAGCTAAGCGGTAGCTTCTAGGCATGCTCTATGATCCTGTCACCTTTTTCAAACTGTCCAAGTTCTATTTTAAGCTCATGCATGCTTGCAATAGGTCGCTTTGTGATGCGTAAGGTTTGTCCTTAAAGTTCTCTCCATTTGACTTTAAACAACAATGACTCTTTTAGCTTTAATCAAAATTATCACCATTTACATGGATTGCTTCTGTAATAAAACAAATTTTACTAAATTCTCAAAATGTCATCTATGACATCTAAAAATGTTTGTACCAACTTTTAATCTCTCGATCTCTGAATACATTCAATTCCTAGAAAGGCTCACCAAAGATCTGTTACTAGAATAGCTCGAAATCTCAGAAATTAGACAAAAACACAGATTTCATCAGATTATCTTTCTCCACAGCCAAGATTAGAGAGAGTTCATCTGTTTCAACAGTTTATGCTTTTGGATAACTGTTTGGAGTAATAAGGTTGGAGTATTTCAGAGAAAATTATCAATTATTTAAATAAATAAAATGACTGTATTTATGTGTCATCATCCAGCTTGAATCCGTCAGACTAGCGATCTGTGGAATTGGGTATCAGTCATACAACGTTCCAGATATTAAGCCTACTAGTGATTGCATTTGCTACTAACAGAGAAAAGCTTGCTGTTAAACATCCAAACCTTCCAAAGCTGCATGTTCTTAAATAGCACCACTATTTAATATTTACCCTTTCTGCACAAATAATAGCAACTGGTGAGAAATAACATCAACGTATTTCTCTAGAGTTGAATTACAGAAATGATACAAGCTTATTGCATGTGCCAGATTAATTAATAATTCACAGACTAACCAAATAACACAGATTGTTCTGTGATTTTAGTAGATATAAGCCAATCAGAAACTGAAGGGTTTCCCTTTAGGTTTGGATCCATGTGCTCAAGGACACAACTGTCAGCATATTTGTGTCAACAATGGCAACTCGTACAGATGCAAGTGTCGCTCAGGCTTCGTCTTGAATCCAGACAAGAAAACCTGCTCACGTAAGGATAAAAAACAACAAAATTTTTTTAGTATTTCATTCTTCTTTTTTTTAATCTAATCTTGCCCAACATTTGTTGGAGATTAAGCAAGTCTTATAGATGTTTGGATAATTTATTTAAATATATTTATCAAAGGATTGTACTCAAGCTATTAAATTTATGCAGGTCATGACATGATATCTAAGTAGTAGTAAAGAAGTTATTACATAAATGACAACTTTTCTTAAACAGTTTATATTTTAGTTTGCTTCAAGGTTTTTCTGCATTGTCTTTTTGAAAAACAAACTGTAGGTTGCAGAATTGTCAATTCTAACCGCAAAATTCTGTGAATAAAATTTCATGCATGTTTTCTTCATGGTTTGTGATAATTCCAGATGCAAAGTTTCAAGTGGCATAAAAAAAAGTCTGTCAGTGGTGTAGGATTAAACCACAAGTTTACAGCTTCTGCAGAATCAAACAAGTCTTTGTTAATCTTCTGCCAGAACAATGTTTCAGCCTGATGTGTTGCTCTGTTTAGGTGCAGACGCTTGCAGCCAGGGACACGACTGCCAGCACGTTTGTGTTAACAGTGGTGACTCGTACATGTGCCAGTGTCAAAATGGATACGTGTTGAACCCGGACAAGAAAACATGCTCACGTAAGAACATAAATCTCTTATTGGATTATAATCTCCAGCTGTCGTGACTGAACGAGTTTTTAGGTTTAAATGTAAAGGTTATCAAAGTCTCCTTTTGCTCACAAGTCAAAGGAGTTTTAAGTTCTTACGTATGTTAGACAGAGCCAAGTGGTTTAACAAATTAAAGGTGTAGTGGAGGATTTTTCGCAAATTTTTGAAATGACCCGCCCTCTCCACTTAAAAAAAATGCACATGCACAACCATGTACCTGCTCCCAAGAAGGAGAGCATGCACAAGCACTTTCTCCTCATGCATGCTTAAAAAAAAAAAAAAAGCTATTTGCAAGCTTCCTTTCCAAAAGAAGGTTTGGAATTTTTCCACTATGTCAGACTCCCATCTGTTAAGTGAAAATTGGGACGAGGTCGTAGGACGGCCTTACGTAAGCATATCACCAGAATGATTGACAATTAGGAGGACCACTTATTTTGATGATCCACCTGGAAAAACAACATCCTCCACTATACCTTTAAAGAGTAAAAATAAAAACTGTTAACAAGCAAATAATGACATTTTATGCATAGGATACCTGTAATTAGATTTTATGGGCTTTAAAGGAATAGTACACCCAAAACATGATTAGCCTTCATTTTCTACTCACCCCCATGCTGAACAACACTCTGGAGTACTTTTTTGATATCTCAAATGCATCTGGAGATCTGGGAGGCTTCTTGCTGTCTGCTGACATTCAAATAATGGAGGTCTATGGCGCCCGAGACAGAAAGGTCCGTTTTTTTTTTTTTTTTTTTTATGTGTTTTGGGGGAGGAGCATGTAGGACCGCCTAACGTAAACATATCTCCACAATGATTCACAATTATTTACACAATCCACCATATTAGGGAAACCTTGTGTGGTAAGAATGATGCTGGACTATTCTGAGTTTGAAGGAGCATCTGTGTCATGATTTTATCTAAGGCTCGGACCCACATGCAGTGAAACCAAACAGAGAGACACGGAAGAAAAGTTTGACTGATTTTATTGAAGATGTTTAGCTCGGTGCAGAGTTTCCCTGAACTCCGCTCAGCCGGAACTGGAAGGCGAGGGGAAGACAGACTGTTAGTTCAGGCTCAGTGGGAAATTTGATTCGTTGATCTTGAAGGAGAGGATCTGATTGTTGACTCATGTTTCCAGAGAAGTGAAGGAACCATGACTCCAATCTGTGTGTTGGTTTTCCAGTGTATGTCTGATTCGGTGGAGGGTGGAACAGGGTTTACCCAGAACTCGGACGGTGAAGATGAACAGAGACGCTGATTGCCACTCAGATTTCCTGCTGTACTTGAACGGGTCGTGGTGAAGATGATTCCCTTGCTCAGAGAATAATTTCAACGTCCTCAAAAAGGAGACTGGATCCAAACCTCCTGTTTTAATCCCCGGCTCAGTTTAAGACTCAGTTGATCCCTCCTGGGAAAGGAGGTCCGAAAAGGTCCAGTTTGCAGGACGACTTCCTGCCGAGAGGCAAAGACAAAAACAAAGTTAAAACTCAGGGAGACAAGAACTGAGTCTTACTCAGAGAAAACTCAGCTTGGCTAGAGTACCAAAATCTGGCAAACACTCTGGCGTCGAGGTAGTGGCAATCAGCAGCTTAAGAGCACTCCGTTAATGAGGTAACCGTCAGCAGGTGTGTGAGGAGGCAAACCGGAACCAGGCGCCTCCTGTTGGTGGAAGGAAGACAAACACAAAAACAAACACACAGACTGGAGTCCTGACAATCTGAGCATAAATCTGTTTTTCAAGGTTGTGTTGAAAGCGTAGTCCTTTCATCCTGAAGCTGTTCTTTAGGTTATAGAAGGACAACTTTATTACTGTATTTTTGTGCCTTTGAAGGTTAGGGTTTCCAACCTTCCCTTGAAAAATTGAGTGGTTCTATATTTAGAAATAGAAGTACCAGTCCCATATTTAGTGGAAAAGGAACGCACTTTATCCCGTATTACTGTCAGAGTAAAAAATAGCTAATGGAAAATGAAGAACGAGGGCACGTTAGATACAAATCGTACGGTAAACTTGTTCCCGGGCCCTGTCCTGCGTTGTGACCAATGAGCTGACAACAGATAAAAAAACATTTATTTGATTTAAGTGTGATATTTTTCAACATATTTTGAATTAAAAACAGTTGCAGGCCAATAGTTTTTTTTATGCTTAAAAAATATGTATTGCACAAGCTTCAGCCACTGCCTACAGCCTAAGCTGTAGTCTGTGCCTTTAATCTGTTATCGTCTATGTTTCAACCACAGAATCGCCAAGATGAGGATTGGATATTGTGTGAAAAAAGTGGGATAAAATATCATAAAAACAGAAGCTAACTATACTTAGCAATATACAATATATGTTGGTTTACATAAAGTGACTGTTGTGGTAAGAGCATGTTTTTGAAAATGGATCCTATACATGCATTATATGTTATTTTAATGCTATTATCTAATTTGCATGGGATGGGAAGTGATCTTTTTTAATGTAGTCTTGTAGCGGAGCGTCTTGGTGCAACTTTTAGCGGCGGAGCGAATTAGCAAACATCCTCCTGAGCGGGGAGCAGGACTTGCGCGGCACTCGGCTCCGTTCACCTGCTCTGCTTAGAAGTGCCTGGAGATAATGTGTTGTGAATTGGCGCTATATAAATAAACTGAATTGAACTAGTTTGTATTGAAATGAAATGAATTGAACTGAAGGGGGGTCAAATATCAGCATACTCTGATGTTTGAACTTTTCTTTTCAGGTTCTGATGCATGTGCTCAGGGACACGACTGCCAACACATATGTGTCAACAGTGGAAGCTCGTACGTCTGCAAGTGTCGGTTGGGTTATTTGCTCAACACAGACAGGAAAACATGCTCACGTAAGAAAAGGAACTTTGAGAGCCTCTATAACTGATCCAGCATCTATTTGGGAGTTTTTACATTTTTATTTATTTAAAACAACAACATGTACAATGTCAGAAATCTGTACTGCTTTTAGTATTAATGCTAGCCACTTAGAACAATGAATAACTGACATGGAACAGGAACACAGCTTTCACTCCTAAAACACGAAGGGTTTGATATTCAAAAGCTTTGCATCTCAATAAACATGTATAAACAAGGTAGCATGTGCAAAGATGATCCACATCCAGCTGTAAATTCACTCCACAGAGGAGTTATTTGTGTCATAAAAGAAGATAGAGATTTTCTGTCCATATAAACATATCTGGGCTGATCTCAGGAGTTGGTAAACATAAATAAAGCTATTTAGAGCGTAATTGTGCTGAAAATATGACGATAGCTGCTTCATGGGCCAGAGTCACTTGAAAGTTGGGTCTTTGAGGAACTTTTCCAGGTTTTAGGATTCATATTTAATCTGTTATTTTTTATTTTTATCTTATAATCTTTTGAAGAATTTGATATGCTTATATGTAAATTGCAACTATTATTCAATATTATGACTTTTTTTAAATAATTCTTATAATTATTAACTTTATCTTTATTGCTTAGAACTTCATCTTTCTCCTAAACTGTCAGTAGCACAAACTATTTACTTATGTAATTATATTAAATTGAGTAGCACATCTTATCCACATGCAATCTTTGTAGATCTCCTGCACCACGCTCGCCTGAGTATTTCCTGTGTAATTCTTTTTTTTTTTGAGCATTTTGTTTTGTTAAAAGCTCCTTATTTGGAATCATTGCATATTAGATGCAAAGACAACAAAACCAGCCACCAATGTTTGTTCCTGCTCTACCATCTGCTCTTGTTTCTTCTAAATTTCCTAAATGTGCGAGGCACCTTTATAATCACGTGAAAGCTACCAACTCGATATCTACTGATTTGCAAGGTAAATGTAATATAAAGGCTCCTTCCGTGACTCTCTAACACAATGGGATGCCAGTGCTGCTCTGTGAAAACATTTTCATGCTCCCAGCATCAAAACTTCCTCTCTGTTTGAGTGAAGTAGCAGCATGACACACATTGACTGAAACGATAAGATCATATCTTCTTTATTTAACCACTCAGGCCCAGGTGCACTTAGGAGCAAATTCTGCCTGAAATAACATGTGAATTAAAGCAAGTCCAGCTCACAAACTATAAATTGGAAATACAATTGTTTGCATTTCTGTGACAGAAAGGCATTGAGGAATATTTTTCAGGTTGAACCACTATTTTAAATGTCTGATTTAAAGGTGATTAAACAAAGAAAAAAAAGAAAAATATTTAGCCTCGCCAAATTTGTTTCCAAAATAAACACCATGAAAGCCCATTTGAAACTCTGGATGAACCTCAGACTTTATAGATCCACATCTCGACTACAACTCAAGCAAATTTGGACTGAATAATTTAGAGCATGTTTTTTCCACAAAGGTTTTAGTGGGCAGTGCACTTGGCAGAAATTTGATTTTGGCACAAGTATTTGTGAAAAAATTATTTTGAAACTTGTTTTAAAAATTTTAATGCCTCATTTGAAAGGCATGGGGATCAAACACCATGCGACTGTGTTTTGGCCTTTTCTATAAATAGATAAAAATGAGCAGGTGTCAGTTGGGCCCTGTACTGGGCCGGTCGGGTTTAGGAGGTTAAAGGCTCAACATGGATACTGAGGAAGTCCAAAAAATCAGTAGTAAGAATGATTATTTTTCGTCCGACGAAATTACATTTTCTGGTCTTTATATCTACTTTTTTCTACAATGGAAATGTTCCATTGTAAAAAATCTTAACATCCTATTTCAAGATGAATTTCTGTGACTTTTTCCTTCAGTTTTTTATGAAACGAAGTGGTTCAGACATTCCCAGGTTATGCCATAGATTGAACATAAATTGAAAACTAAATCATGTTTGGGACAGAGTAAACTGACTCTGTGTCATCCTCCAGGTTCGGATGCATGTGCCCAGGGACACGACTGCCAGCACATTTGTATCAACAACGCTGATTCTTACAACTGCATGTGTCGAGAAGGATATATACTAAATTCAGACCAGAAAACATGTTCACGTAAGGATACTGTATGGAAAATATCTTCCAATCTTGGGTAATTTATGACCATTCGAAGCTACGCATTTCCTGAATCAACAGTCTGAAAGAAGTTTCCCTGAGGCTGTTTGGATTTACATTAGGAAGTTCAATCTGGGAAATCCCATCTGTCAATTTAAATAGAAATTTGTTAAAGAAATTAATATACACTAGTGTGAGCTTGAATCATAAAGAAAAGGACCACTGTGTTGGTTCTTTGGTTAAAAACATCAATTAAAACAGGCACCTTTCAGATGGATTTCTCTAACAGTTCTGTAAATATAAACAAAAGAGGGAACTAGAAATGAATATTGTTAATAACAATGAGGAGATTTGTGAAAAAGGGTTAAAGATCACCCACAGTCCAGGTTGGAAGGAATTTCACTGAAAGTTAAGAATGAATTTCTTCAAAACACCTTTCAGGATTGGAAAATATGACAGAAATGCTACAAATGTGTGCTGGAGGATCGTAGCCTGGGGATCAAACTCAAATTTTTAATGCCCTACTGATTCCTTTCTGTCCAGGACTTCAGAGAATCATTAAAAAAATATTTAAGTTCACTTAAACACTGGATCCACTGCATTTGTCAGAAGTGAGTCAGAACTTAGGACCCAATATTCAAGGTGAGACAGACAGTGGGAAGATTCAAAACGTTTATTAAAACGGAGAGGGGGGGGGGGTTTACTGAGGCCATGCTCAGTAGAAGAGAGGCAGAACAAGGCATGATAACAGGAAAACTACGGTACTTTAAAACTCACTCCCTCCACTGAGGCAAGAACAGGAACAGGACACACCCAGTGACAGGCCAGCTGACAGCTCTGCTAGGCCCGGGACAACACAGTCTTTTGGGCCCCCCCTCTGAGATGACTGATAATCTGTAACCGGGCAGAGTTAGGCAGCTGAGTGAAATGAGCAACTAGGTCAGCTATCAGGGTGGTGATCATGACAGGAAGCTAAGTTACCACGGATTCTACTTCTAGTAGCAATGACAGTGATAACTCTATCCTGGCTTAAGCGCCTGCCTCTCACCCTTCAACAATGGCGAAAAAGATTGAAGAATGTGTATAAAGATAAACTTCATGTAAAAAATTAACATCTTTCTGAGTGTATGGACTCCAGCTATTTCCCACTTTGAACCGCCACACGGATTAAGATGCTACGGGTTATAAAAAGCTGTCAGCCCCTTTTTATGTCTCTCTCCTTCAATGGAAAACACTGGATATGTCTACATACCTTCATATGAGCCCAGGACGACCTCAAGAAGAAAAGTCAATCTCTGAAATGGATTTAAGTGTTTGCTAAGCCCCCGCCACTTTTCTTTTCTCTTTTCTTTTTTATTGTGCTATGGAAGTGCATGTATAAATATTAGTGCTGTCAATCGATTAAATTTTTTTAATCGCGATTAATCGCATCAATCCCTAAGTTAACTCGCGATTAATCGCATTTTAATCGCAATTTTTTTTTCTGATTGAAAATCATTTAAATACTCTCGATGACATACAAAAAATACATACAGGCTAGGTTTGTGCCAATGTTCTTTTTTTTTAAATGAAAACAGGTCACAGACAATGATTTATGCCATAGAAACATATGGCAAGAAGATGGGGAGGCATGTAGCAAAAAATATCAAATATGTAGCCAAAAAAAGGCCCTGAAAACAGGCTGATGTAAAAGACAGTCTTTACAGTTAATACAGTCTTTTGAACAAAGACAAGCATTTTACCCTACTGCTACAAAATGTAGTAGAGTTAATATTAGATGTTAATTAACCAAGATAATAATGAACAATTTTCAATCAATACATCAAAATCAATAGACCAACATCACTAGATGGAGGTAGTCTATGAAAGTTACTTTTCAGCCTCTTAACAAAAATGAGAACACACACACACACACCCACCCACACACACACACACCCACCCACACACACACAGACACACACGATACTGACCTGTGGCGTACAAAGACAGCAAGAGTTCCGTAGCAGATTCCATTTCACCTCAGTAATCTGTTTCCTCAGCGTATTTCAGGTTGCTACTAGTTACCAGACACTCAACTTGTTTGTTGGTGGTGGGGCTTAAAGAAAAGGCACTAGCGCTACCCAGTGTATGAGCGTCTTTTTTCCTTGAGGAGCTCCGCTCTCGAAGCCTATGAGAAATGCATACACTGGGGGGAAATAGCCCCGCCTTCCCGCAGGCTGCAGCGGGATGTACTTGGAAAATTGTACCAAAAAACCACATAGCGTTAATCTCACGTTAAAAAAATGATCGCCATTAAAATGGCCTCGCGTTAACGCGATAATAACGCAATAATTTTGACAGCACTAATAAATATATATATATATATATATATATATATATATATAGACTTAGACTTAGACTTGACTTTATTAATCCCTTGGGATTACTCCCTTCGGGAAATTGTATTTCCAGTAGCAGGAAAAATTGCACATACAAGAAAATAGAGGATGTTTATATATATATATATATATATATATATATATATATATATATATATATATATATATATATATATATATATATATATATATATATATATAAAATGTTAGGTCATTGGCATTGTTAGTGACATGTTGCATTTGTTTGGATACAGTTTTAAATTGATTAATGTTATGTGTCTTCATATCCTATTTAAGGTGGACCTCAACGAGTAAGCATAAGTGCTAAATGGTTTAATTTAAAATCTTTTTTTGAAATATTACTAATCATTCTCTCCAACAAAAATCAATTCACACTTAATCATCGCTGTTATGTGTAATCTAAACCACACTCCTTTAAATAACACTTTTGACTTCATCTAACATTGAATTGTGATCCTTATATTAATAAGTGTTCTGCCTGTGTGACGTGTCCTGCATCAGATAGTGAAAGGCTCCCTCTGTTGGACTCTCATGTGTTTTTATTGTTTCAGAGGAAATGAGGAGTGAAATAACAGAAGATGCCTGCATGTGTGAAGCACAGATTGTTTTCCAGAGAAAGGTGCAGTCGGCCATTCAGGAGCTCACAACTAAACATATCCTTTCTAGAATTCACAGGAGTTTACTATTTAAAGCAACTTTTTCCTAAGTTTCGATTATATTATATTTTGCATTAAAGTAGCACTTCTTTACAGTGAATCTAAGAATTTCCTTGACTGTTTGCTCACTCGCTGAACTTTCAGACAAAGTGACGGACATTGAAGCTGAATTTCAGCGTTGAGAACAAAGATGGAGGAAAAACGTCGGCACTTTTATTACAGTCAGGATTCCATAAAAGTAGTAAATAATTATATTTCTTCATGATGATGTAAAAAAAAAATCAGCTTAGTGCTTCTTATTAATACAAACTGGTGCTGTTTTTCCTTTATACCTCTATTGACAGGAACTCTAGCATTATTACACGTTAAATACGTCACCTAAAGAATATTGTAAGTGTTTATCACTGCTTATATAATCAAATTAAAAGTTATATAATTCAGCTTGTTTGCCAAAAGCTGTTTTTTTTTTTGCTGCTTGATTAAATTGTTCAGGGAGTTCAAGATTTGGACAAGCTTTTTTTTCTAGCTTTTAATGATGGATTATTTTAAGCTAAAGGTTGTAAGATTTTGTCACTTCTGCTGAACAAACACTTGTTTGTTTCATTTTCTGTCTGTTTTTTTATTTGCATGTCCTATTTTGGTGCTTTTTGAGATTAAAAAACATTAGTCATCACATGTTTTTAATATAAATGGCTTAAAAAATAAATGTTTATGAATCAACGTTTACTATGCGTCTGTCTTCAGTCTGATTAAAACTCTATATCAATAACAGCTAAAATGTTTTTATTCATACTATTTTATAGAATAGATGAAGTTATTATTCACATAGAACTTTTCCATATTGAGGCACATTCCAAGTAAAATACTTGATCTTATTTGCTAGGATTAAAATGATAGACAAACAAAGCAGCAAAAGTGGATTTTATTGTTTACATTTAACAACCAGAAAATTCTTAAAAGCATTCGAATTCAGTTTCTATATCTTTTATTCCTCCATGATTAAATAAAAGGCAGCCAACTGCCCTCATGTGTTACTTAACTAGTAAATATAGTCTAAAGATTGCGTGATTTAAGCTCAGTTTAAATCCAGTAAATCCATCACAAAGATCAAGGAACACAGCAGGCAGATGTGGGAAATATAAAGTCATTTAAAGCAACGTTATGTTATAAAATTGCAGAAGTTGTTGACTCTATTAAAAGGGAGTGGTCTAAACTGTTTGTGCTCTCCTCATATCCTTCATCATGAAGAAGTGACTAAGAACGCGACAGTCAGGTCATTTTGAGAACTCAGCAAACATCCAGGCAGATGGAAGCACAAAATACTATGTGTGACAGACACTCAACACACAAGTTAGTGACAGGCGCTGGTGGTGGCAGCATCATACTATGGGAATCATTTCCCTCAAGAGTGACTGGGAAAATAGACTCAACTATAAAAATAAACACATGTAATCCTGACAAAAAAAGCAAGAAGAAGCAAATGAGAATGGGTTATTTACCTTCCAGCTAGAGAAAAACCCTACAGAAAATCATACAGTCATAATTATACCTGAAGAGTTTTGTGCTCTAATCAATGTCCACGCCTACATTAGTAAAGTTAGAGCCTGTGTTGCCGGGTAAAGACACCCTCTGTAATGTCTGGGTTAGCTTGTGCTTGTTTTCAGAGTGTAAAACTTCAATATCTAGCTGCGTACAGCTCTTAGAGACATACAACAAAAACACTTACCTCTGGTATCATTGCATAGGATGGCAGCTGTACAAAAATTAATACATCCACAACTCAATATAAAATTCATTTCAAAAATAAAAAAATATTTGTATTTTTTTATTTTCCTTTCACCACTATATGTAGGCCTAACAAATAAAAGCACCAACATGACATTAAAAACTGGGTCTGTAAGATCAGGAAAAAGCCTAGTTTTTATGGACAGTGTAAATTGTTACGTGTTATATGTTTGTTTTTGTTTTTTTTACATAATACTAAGATGTATTTATTCTTTGTTTCTTCTTTATCAGTAAGAAATAGCATGGCAAAATGTCTTTCTAATGTAATACTGCAGTTGTTCTGTTTATTGAAATGTAATGTTCTGGAGCAGGGGTCACCATAGTGGTGCCCGCGGGCACCAAGGGGCCCTCAAGGACCACATGGGGTGTCCTCACAATTTCTGAATGACTCACAATTGGACTAAGTTTGAAATGTTGAACTGCTACTCCTATTTTTTATTATCTATAGAGCATTTTATCATATCAATCATTTAGAACATTTAAGCATTTACAGGGATTTCAAAATGACAATATCTAAAAGCAAATCAGAAATGAAAAGAAATATTGGAAATATGTTTATTATCTTTGTTAAAGATAGGCTCTGTGTGTTTGCACCTTGCAGCTCTTTCTCTTTGGTTCTTTTTTCTAAAAAGATCAGTTGGGAAAAACTCTTTAAATAACACCTCCTCACTTATATGTATTAAATAACCAGGAGACATGACAACAGATTCTGATAGAAATTATAATCTCACTCAGATCAGAGAAGTTGCTCAGAGTTACAGAAGGCAGCTGCACCCCACCTGGCTCACCCCTATGGAAGTGGCCTGGACAGTTAAAGAGTCATTTTATACGTCTCCAGTCTGCCACATCGTCACATTTTACATCCAACGTGTCAGCAGATGAGGAGACATCCATGGCTCCAGCCTTATCAAAATATTAAACATTGTTCTCATTCCATTCCCAAATCTACAGAATGAAGATTATAACTGTATACAGCCAGACAGAGGAACTGTGTTAATTAAACATCCGTTCTGACGCGCAACAGGCAGCTAATATTAAGGTGTAATAAACTCACACATCATCAGTGATAATTATCCTAACGTCTATAGAGTTTAGTTGAAAGCTGATCCCATCCTTTGACACGACAGAAGCCTTCAGTCTTAAAAAGGTTGGTGACCCGGTTCTGGAGTTTTACTTCTAACTTTAAACAATTGAAATGGTGTAATTTATTTTTCTTTTCTTTTTTGCCAATCAAACTTTATAGTTTTGATCTGATGATAAAACTAGAAACAAAAATGCATTAAAAAATCCTCTTTGTTTTTTGTTTCCTGAAACGGAAAATAAAATTACAATAATTTTTCTAATTTTCCTTTTCACTTTTTGACAATGAAAAAGAAAAACGCTTTGAATTTCAATTTTCTTTTTTGCATTTTAAAACAAAAACAAATCGCCATTTTTTTATTTATCCCCGATATTTCTTTCTTTTATTTATTTATCGTTCTTTATCTGTTTTTTTTTTTTGTTTGTTTGTTTGTTTGTTTGTTTGTTTTTTAAGTAAAAATCAAATTAAATGGCATTTCAATGAGCTTGCCGCTGAAATATTACAAGACAAAACTACAACTACCAGAGGCACCAAGCACTTCCGGTTTACGGTTACCATGGAGACTCATGGAAGCTAAAGCCTTTGCAGTTCACCATTAAAAGAAGGAGAACTTGTTCTGTGAAACATTTAGATCGCTTCAGCCATCTTTATTCGCCTAATGGCGCCGATGGAGATTTAGAAACACAGGATTTAAAATATAGAAAAGTTTATTCTTTTGTTTTCAGGTCATCTTCGATAGCCGTGCTAAGCTAACGGTTTAGGCTAAGCTTTCAAAGCCACGCGACAAACGTTAGCTTGTTTTAAAGGGTTTTATTTCCTCTGATATCTTTGTTTATATGTTAGATGCGTCTTTATTTTTCTATAAATCACCATGTTCATCTACCTCAGCAAGAAGGTGAGCATTTCTGACCTTAACGAGTCGTTTCAATCCATGTTTGGGGGAAATAATGTGGGTTTTCCGTGTTGTTTAGATCGCTATTCCTAACAACATCCAGCTGAGATGCGTCTCCTGGAACAAACAGCAGGGATTCATCTCCTGTGGAGGAGAAGAAGGTCTGCTGAGGGTGTTAAAGCTGGAGACACAGACAGGCAAGCAGAAGTTTACATCCTGATTATTAAAACAATCCAATGCTGCTGTGTTTCTATGTACTGTTTTACCTGTTAATTATATCTATGGACCTATATCTATATCTATCATCTCAAGGGGCTGACCCTGAAATAAACAAGAATAAAAAGCTGGTTTTGTTTTTGTTTTCTAAGCTTTTCCTCCCATTTCTTAATAGAGTTGGAAAAATCACAGAAAAGTTGGGGCTTAAAATCAGAAAGGAAGAACATTTCTAACAATACGAAAGTATTTTAGGTTCAAAGATTATAAAGAAACAGTTATTTAGGAAATATCATAAACACCATGCTGTTGTCAAGCGGAGGAAAAGCTTTGCTTGAATTTTGTGCATTAAAAAGTTGATCTTCCTCGCCAGTTTACAGAAGATGATGTTTGCAACCTACAAATAAACAGAAGAAAAATACACATCATGAAGCTAAAGGAACCAACCAATTAAAATAGGGATAAAAATGTTTGGTCATAAATTATCCAAAGCTGTGAACATTTCTGGTCTGTGATATGAAAGGTAAACGTCTTAAACAACTGCAGTTCTATTAGATAATGAGGGTTAAAAAAAAGTGATAACCTTTTAAGACCCACATAGATCTACAGCTCTGATAGAAATATGTAAACTGGGCTCTCAGTCCTGCATTCCACCTGTCTGACCTCTAATATGTAAGAAAACCAAGTCAAGACATTTCAGCAGCAAGGCAGTTTAAATTGCTTTACATGATAAAAATATCCGAACAAATGTGCAGTAGAATCATTAAAACATCAAACTAATACACAGAAAAACATCAGAATCATAAAAATCATTAAAAACACAGATTGAAAGCCAAAGAGTTTGAAAATGAACAGAAATAACCTGAAAACACCCTACTTACTCTAAAAATATGTGGTAGCTGTATTAAGCGGAAGTTTATAGATGATACAGGACAGAATTTCACTTTATACAAAATGTAGAAAATACTGAGAAGGTATGAATACATTTACACTTTAAATATATCAAAAATAAAGTTGACATGATAGCCTCAGACCTCCTTTATAAACCTGTTGTAATGGTTGTAAGGATTAATGTGCTTTTTGCATCAGTGTATTTCCTGCCTCCTAAACTGTTACTAAACATTAGTGTGACTGAGATTAAAGGGCAGCTAAAACAAAAGGCATCACAGTTTGAAATAAATCTGCTGAAACTTTAACAGGTTTAGCTCGGGCCCCTCAGGGTACCGTCGCTATAAGCAGAGGTGGTACCACCAGGCCTGCAGCTGTGGCGTAGATGATGAACGCAGTAGAGAGCAGATCAGAAATGCTGTTTGAAAATAGCAGAATATCTATATTGAAAGGAGAGATTGATTGAATATAGTCAGTTGC